GGGGGGGGGGGGGAATCCAACATCCTGCTGAGAGAAAGGAAATAAACACTTCCATATGCAACGACTGCCAGAAACGCTCACGCACACACACACACGCACACACGCACACAGGGCTCGGAGTTAATGCAGTTACACGGTGTAGTAAATTTGAGCAGCCCTGGTTAGCAGCTCGCACCGCCATTATAAAAGGGAGTATATTTTCTGCTTCCGGACATTTATAGCTCGTGAGGCCTCGTTCATCACACCAGCTCCGTGATATAATGCAGCTTAGGTAGAAATACGCTCTTCTGGAGCTGTAGGTCCTCAATCCCCGATTGATCTGGGAGAGCAGCGGTTGTTTTACGCGGAGAGGATTCATATTGTGTGAAAGCGTTTTGGTCACATGCAGCAAATCCTGTTTACCAGAGCGACCCACATACAGCACACCTCCTGCCCGGGGCAACCCATGAACCCTGGGCCACTTTTCATGTCCAGAAAACACACGCATTCATTCACACAGATTGGTCTTACAGTCCTTGTGAGGAACTTCCTTGGCTACAATCCCTAGCCCGACAATAAAAACACACACCTTTGACCTTGAACGTAGTAACAATTCTAATCTTACGCTTACACCGTAATGGCCGCCATCTTTCTGTACACATGAAAAATACAGTGCAAGAACACACACGCACATACACACACCATCACAGAAACTTCGCCTGATTATCAACACACCCAACATGTGTACTAACGCCAGAGAGAGCGCGACACTAATGTGCCCTCAATCTAAAACCTCTCTGTTGTGATCGTGTGTTTGTACAAGCAGGTGGTTGTGCACCACTATGCGTGTGTGTGTGTGTGTGTGTGTGTGTGTGTGTGTGTGTGATCCATAGTGTTACACAGTAATCGTTTTGCATATGTGGAGCCCACTAGGTCATCTTCTTAAGGGGATTATCCATGCAGCAGTGCCGGTGTTTATCCGATTGACAAGTTTCCTCATTGCGTGAGTTTCTGTTTGCAAAACACAGCAAACAGTATTATTGGACTGCATTAGGGCAGGGTTAGCAACTGCTGGTTTCAAAACAAGTGAGAGTGCATGTCTGTGTTTGTATGTAATGGTCCATAATTACACAATCCGGTTATTTTCCCACAGCTTCTGCCCGATCGATACATAGTGAAGTGGGCTTCTAATGGCTTGGACTCGGGAGCAGTGCACAGAGGGTGTGTGTTCTGCAGTGAATATATGTGTGTGTGTGTCTTGCACTTTTTCCACTGATACCCAAAGCAAACAATACAATCTCTGCAGCAGAACTGGTTGGAGCCTTTTATCTGCTCAGACTGGAAGTGCCCCTGTACCTGTGTGTGTGCACTCACAGGTCTGAATAGAGCGCTGAAGGTCCCGACCTAACGCTTTTCAACAAGTCTTAATACAGTTGGCATTCAACAGCAGCAACTACTTTGTGAAGCGAGCCAAGACACTGCAGCGGCAGCACCTCTCCACACATCCCCGCTGGATTAAAGTGAGAAAATGGCACAAGCTCTGGGTAAATTTAGGTCACTTCGATTTTACAGATGGCCCTTGTTGCCGAGCATATTTTCTCAATTAAGGCTGATTAGGGAGGGAAATTCCCAGACAGCGTGAATTATTAAAAAACTCGAAATGGATTCTGATCATGTGACGTTGTGTGGCGTTGACACACGACATCCCCAGATGCATCCTGGAAA